GCAAAGTGAGGGCTCGAGAAGCATCTGCAGGGTGAGTGACAGTTAGAATCTTGGGGTCAGAGCCCACGGGGCTGCAGCTGTGGCAAGAATCCAGCCTCACCCCATGGTGACCCGAGGCCCAGGCTGGGCGCTGTGGGTGCTGGCTGCTGTCCGGCCTCAGGATCTAAAGGGAGTGTTTGTGTGGACGTGTGTGTCCTCTGTGTGCACACACACGTGTACGCCTGTCTTCAGGCCCGCGAGCTCGTGTGTGTGTGTGTGTGTGTGTGTGTGTGTGTACACGCATATGTGTGAGTGTGTGTCTGAAGTCAGCCAGAAAGACGTGGACGCACTTCAGGAAGGGAAAAGTAGTGTGAAGCCTTCCCAACAGATGGTGTGACCCTCGCGTGCGGGACCCTGGAGGACGTCACGTATCTCAGAAAACGCACTGCACCTCTGGTGTGGAGGGAGGAAGTTGAAAACGCATTGGTCTCAAGGTTGGCCAGGCAGCAGCTCACCGAACTGGTGCATCTGGAAGCTCGTGGCCACCGCTCGGAGCACCTCCTGTGATGGCAGAGGCCAAAGGTGACCTGTGTCAACCTCGCGGGGGGTGTCCCAGTAAATTTCGTATTAAAATATTTATACCAGTTTTCCTGTTCCTGAAGTGCGCGCATTCTTTGGCAGACTCAGTGTGTGCATGTGTGCGTGTGTGTGCGTTCTGTGTGTGCGCCTCTGCACGCGAGTGTCCCCGTGTGCCTGACGGGGGTCCGAAGTGGCCTGTGGGGGTTTGCGGTGGCCTGGGGGTGTGGAAGGGAGACCGCAGGCAGGTGGCGGCATTTTGGGTAAGCAGAGATCCCACCTGCTGCGGGATCCTGGGCGGCCACTCCCCTGGGCCTCAGTTTCCCCGGCTATCTAGTGGGCTTCCTGTCCTCCTCCGAGGAGCTTGTTGGTGTGGGGTGCGGCCCTCCCTGGGCTCTGTATGGAGCAGGTGCCATGTACCGGGGAAGGGGGCGGAGGAGGGAGCAGATTGTCCTCTGTCTCCTCAGCTCCGTGCCTGCCACCTTGGCCAGTGGCAGATGGGAAGTAGGGCCAAAAGTTCGTCTCCTTACTGAGCAGATGCAGAGGGCTTTTCTTTTTACCATCTTTCCTTGAGAGGCAGGGTAGGCAGCTCACACAGCAGTGGTTGTTTGGGGTACATGCGTCACATGGAGGTGACGAAAGTTGGACAGGACGGTGTGCGAGGGCGACCAGCACCAGGCCATGCAGTCCCTCCCCTGAGGGCTCTGGAGCCTTCCCCCGGACAGCAAGGCGTGACTGTATTCCAGCCTGGCGTGGGAGGCAGAATCATGTAAACCCTCCCAGCCTGGCCCTGGGACCCGTGACTGCATCACCTCAGAGCACCAGAGGCGTTGGCAAGTGTGGGTCAGGATCCCAGATGGGTAGATGAGCAGGTCTAGCTGGGGCCCAGTGTCAGAAACAAAGAAAGAGCCTTAAAAGTGGGAAAGGCCCTGGGCGTAGTGGCGCACGCCTGTAATCACAGCACTGGGAGGCTGAGGCAGGAGGATCACTGTGAGTTGGAGACCAGCCTGGGCTACATAGTGAGTCGCAGATCAATCTCAATCTACATAGTGAGACCCTGTCTCAAAAAACAAAAAACAAAAAAACAAAAACAAAATGTGGGAAAGGGAAGCGGGAGAGAACCAGGGAGAAGGCAGCCTTCGAAGGGTCTTCAGCTTGAGGGGTGTGGGAGGCTGGAGCCGGAAGCGGAGGTGTGCAGAAAGTTTCCAGAAACAGGGAAGTCAAAGGGACAGATTCTCTCACTCAGAGTGAATTCAAGCCCTGCATTCAGCCCAGCAGGGCCCATTTCAGACTCCTGACAGCCAGGACCGTAAGGCATAAATGTGGCCGCTCTTGCCTGCCCTGCTTGGGGGCGTTTGTGACAGTAGGGGTCCCGTGCCCTTGGCATTTGGCTCTTGGTGGCTGGCCGGGGCACTTTCCATCACTGCACACTCTCCTGCCCACTGGGTCTTCCCGCTTCCCTGGCGGTCTCCCGAGTACTAGGACTGCTCTGTTCCTGTTCCCATTTTACAGATGAGGAAACTGAGCCTCTGACCTGGGGTCTCTTTGTCTTCGGGCGGAGGGCACTGGAGCTGGAACTGGCCCTGACTGGGTGAGTGGTGCCCCAGCCCCCAATCTCCAGGGTTGTCAAACTGACTGGGGGGAGTCCTGGAAGGACTCGAGGCTGCTGCCCCCTGACATCTGGTCTCAGACAGGCCCGCTGGGACTGGGACCCTCCCTGGTTGTCCTAATGGGGGACCTGTGTACGAATGGGTGAGTGTGTGTCCCCTGGTCCCTCCAGAAAACGGGGTCTGGGATGATTGCTAGAGAAGATGGGATGAAGTCTCTGGTTCTGTTTATTTATTTTAGTACCAGGGATCGAACTCAGGACCTTGTGCTTGTGAGGCAGGTGGCAGAACCACTGAGCTACATCCCTGATGTCTCTGGTTTTATTTTCCAAATGAAAAACTCCACTTCTCGAAGGTGAGCAGCGGCTGCTGGGGCCATTGCAAGGAGCAGCCACAACCCAGAATTGGGTGGGTGTGGACTGTTAATTCACCCACTGCCCGGCTCCAAACCGTCCTTGGCTTCCTGCTGCCTCTGGGGTGAAAGGTGTTCTTAGTCTGATGCTGGCTCCTGACCTCTCACCCCTCCCTGTTCCTCCCTTGTAGTGAACATGGAAGCAGCAAGTGGAAATTCCCATGCTGCAGGTAGCAGGCAAGATAAGAAACGCAGCTTGAGTGTGAGCTTGAAGTGTTTGAAGTGATTAGGTTTGCAGTGAGATCATACTAAGTGTGTTAAGAGTGTGACAAGCTAGAGTGAAGTCATTACAACCTGCTTGGAGTGATAGCAATGTGTGAAACGTGTGATAATGACAAGAAGAGGTATAAAAGACCCCAGGAACAGACCGACATCGTCCGCCCTTGACCCGTCAAGTGGACCCGCCGAAGCTCTGCCCGAGACGCAGACACTCTGGCGGAGACGCTCTCCCGTTCGAGACGTCAGATGCTGGAGTACATCATGAGACCCTGAAGCACTTCGCAGCGCGACCCTGCCGCGTCCAACACCGCAGACGCCACGGACTCAGGTCGTATACCGGAACTCTTTCCCGCAATGACCCTAGCCTAACCTTGGCGCCAGCCCGATTGCCTTGGGCTGGCATACTGCTTACATTCCTTTGGCTATTACTATACTTATATTCATATTGTCTTGTCTGTGTGCAACTGATGATGTAATAATAAATGAGACTGTTCTCGAAAGGCCACTTGCAGTCGTCTATTATACGTGGGATCCCGAAACGTAAATCGGTGCTCGTGACATCCCTTTGGCTCATGCCTGATTTAATCAAGCCCCTTGTCTGTGACTGCTGGCCACTGTGCCTTGGTGTGTACTAGTCCTCTTGCCTGGAGAGCCTTTTCAGGGTCTCCTCTTGCTGAGCCTTGCCGCCCTCTAGGATGACCTCCCTGCCTCTTCCCCTCCCCGTCCCAGCCTCCACGTGGGGCTCCTGAGCCCTGGGCCTGATTAGAGAAGCTCAGCTTTGGGCCCGACAGTGCTCCTCGGGGCAGCAAAGATGAAGGCAGCCGGAGTTTGTCTCACCTTTATTCGGCACACAGGAGTAACAGATGACTCGGCACTGGGGAAGCTATCGGGACCACGAGGGGTTTATGCAGATGAAGACGTGGCTCCTCCCCAGGGTGTCTTCAGCTGATGTCATCCTGCCCTGAAGCATCACAGCATCTCTGGACCATTGAGGTTTTTGCTGTGACCAGAGGTGAAAGTGGAGTTATGTCTTGACGTGCCAAAGCTGGCCTGTAGGCAGGAAAAATAGGCTTAATCATAATTTAATTGTGAAATGCTGTTTCCCCCCAAATTAGGTAGCATGGCTCCGGACAGTACACAAGCCAGGCCACACACCTGTAATCCCAGCGCTCGGGGAGGCTGAGGTAGAGGCATAAGTGAGAGCCCAGCCTGAGCAATTTAATGTGTCGGTGAGATCCCGTATCCAAAGAAAAAGGGCCGGGGATATAGCTCGGAGCAAAGGCCCTGTGCTCAATGCCCAGCCCTGAAGCGGGAGGGGCAGGAAGCAACGCACGCAGGCAGGTTCTCCTCCAAGTTCCCTGGAGTCCTCTGTGAGCTTGGAACCCGCTTGGCATAGCACCCAGTGCTGCAGATGTACTGAGCATCTGCTGAATAAAGGGTTGTGTGGATGGATGGACGGACTGATGGATGAAGCCGATGTAGGCCCTGTTGATTCCTCAGTCAGCCGGACTTCTTGGTCCCAGGGCCTGCCAGCTCACTTCAGGACCCTTGCTGAACCGTGAATTCACCCTGCCTGACGTGCCTCTCTGTGAAATGGGTCTACAACTCCTGCCTAATTGAGCTCATTGGGGGCATTCTGAGGCCACAGATCCCAGAACTGTGTAGCCAAGGTGAGCTCAACAATCTTTCCTCCCACCCTAGGAAGGCCTGGGAGGCGAAGGGCCTCCCCAGACTTGGTGCGGGAACTCAGCTCCCTGCCTCAGGCCCGGACCCTCCCGGGCCTCCCTTCCTTCCACTCCCACTCTGCAGCCGAGCCTGAGCCTGGAAATACTGAGTCACAGCTGGAGCTAGGGATGGGGACTTTTCCTGCTCATTTCTAGGGGCCTCCCTGACCTCAGCCCCTGGGGGTGTGGGGGAATAGGCAGGACCCCAGCTCCTGGTTCTGGGAAGTGCAGCCGGACAGCCCTGTCTGTCTGTCTGAGCCTCCTCTGGGGGACCCCAGGTCAGGGAGGAAGCGAGGCTGCGGCAGCGAGGGTGGGATCGTAAGTGGCCCAGGCCCAGCCCCGCCCTCCCCTTGTCCCCACCCCAAACTCTCTTAATGAAATCAAGCTGGCCCTGCAGCCCAGCCGGGGGAGAAGGGGAGGGACGGAGGACGAGGAGGACA